TATAATATAAAATTTATTTAAAAATGTTTTTATATTGTACATTATAACGTTGAAATGCTTACATTTACTGCATGCTTGATGTTTGATTTTTCAGTTATATATGTTTTAGACATTTTTATTTTCTATAAATTAAATTTATTTAGACAATGCTACAGAATTTTAAAAATCTATAATTTTGCTGTTAATTATTGACTTAAAATACTTAGTAAGAAATGTGGTTAATTTTTGTTCAACTGAATTAAAAAAAATTTTTTTATTAAAAAATGTATTTAATGCTTTCCCTACTTTTCTTGCTTTCACTACTAACATTCACAATTTTTTAATGTTTAATTATGGAATGTTAATGTTAGTTAACCATTTAAAAAAAACCTTGTTTATCTTGCTCATTTCCACTCGTAGGTCAAAAAAAAAAAACATGCTGGAGGAAGACACTGGGCAGTTGTTTACTACTGGTCACGATGACATCACATCCTGTGCACCAGCTCTGTTTTCTGGGCAGATAGCAGTAGTATCCGTCTTTTGAGAGTTAGGAAGACACATAAGGAGTTAAATGTCCATTTTGTGCATGTGAATAATACCATTTAGTGAGTGGAGTAAGATGAAACCAAAAAAGTGTTAAAGGTCATTGTCTACATTGACATTTCATCATTTTGTCAACAACTCATCATGGGTTTTTGGAAAGGAGGATGTTTTTGTGTGTGTGTGCATGACAATAGACCATATGGGGATTTCCATATCAGACAGGAAGCACTGAGACAGTAAGGAAGCTCTCCAAAAAAGCTCTTCAAATGCACAGTTGGGGGATCTCACCTCAGCAGTCTGCAGACATAATCGCAGCTTAGTGAGATAACAGCGGTGTCAGTAATGCAACAGCATTCTGTGTGTGTGTTCAAAGTCTGTCTTTTCTCTCAATTACTTTATCTTCAGCCTCTTGATGGCCTGTATCAGCTCCTCGCAGCTGAATACACACACTGCATATAGTGTAACCATTGTGTTTGAGAGAGACATTGAGCAGAAGAATGACCTTGTTTATGTGCGTCTGTGCTCCCAATGAGTTTACATATTAATGACATGAATCATCTCTAATTTATCTATGAGCGTGCCACTGTATCAGCTTGTTTTATTGCTGCGGTCATACATGCATTAAGGAGATGGGAAATATTTATGTTTTTGTGTGCATGTTGTGTGTGCTTGTGCCAATGTTAAGCCAGTAGAAATCGCTCTCTGCCTTGGGCTTGAGTGGCCTGAGCTCGTGCACAGACTTAATCTGCCAGAGGCCGAGAACAAGGTCAGCCGCCGGACACTGTGTGCACGTCAATTACCAAACAATAAATAGAATATTGATGAAGCTCTCAATCATAATTGAGAGGCCTATATAATGAGTGAGCTGGAATGATTGCTAACTGGCTGATTCAATCTGAAGCCAATAGCATAATTAGTTTAATTCTTGCGGCCTGACTGTTCCACTTTCCCGATTAAGGTCATCTGATTTGTGCGGCTGAACTTGGAGAACGTGTGTAGCTGCTGGGTTTTAGCATGTTTTTGTGAATCATGGATATTAAAATAAATAATTCAGCGATAATTGTCTTACCCTCATGTTGTTTGAAATTTGGATGGTTTTTTTCCCCTCTGTGGAACCCAGAGGTGTTTTTTAGAATGTATTTTCTGTAAGCGTGAGAGTCAATGATGTAAGAGTGTCCACAATGAAGAAAACAGTATTGAGGATGGAAGAGAGTGTCATTCACTCCCCCCACTGACGATTCCTGAATTCCAGAATTATCTTAAAGATTCCTAAATGCATCTACTTTCGGAAGGCCAAATAAAGTGCTTTTGCTTTCGCCTAGAAACACACAGCGTCTCCCTGACATGGCTGCTTCAACACTAACTGCGGTTACTGAAACCACGCCTTCTTTCTTTGCGTGCACATTTGGGCGGCATTATGCAAATATTTCCACATAGTGAGGTAGATATGTGGGGGCGTGTTAGAACGAGCCGTTTTAGGGGGGCGTGGCAGAGTCTTAACTTTGATAAAGAATATCTCTTTGGTTTTGAGACTTTAGTCTTTGCAACTTCAGGGATCTTATCTATGCACAATCATCTTGTAACACTCCAAAGAAAAAGGAAAACTTGAAATCGCATCATATGACCCCTTTAAAAAAAACAATCAGACATTTAATGATCTCACTGTTTAATTCCCTCACTAGAACTTACATCTGCTCTTTTTGGGTTTTCTCAACTGATGTTAGCATGTAGAGTGAGAGACTGAGACAAAGCAGAGGAATTTGTGTTAATTCTGATCATACAGTCGCTCTCTCTCTCTCTCTCTCTCTCTCTCTGTCTCTCTCTCTGTCTGAGCTCTGATTTGCTTGATTGGTTGGTCTTCTCAGCTCAGCGGCTTTACTGCATTCCTTAGTCTGACCCCCTGAGAGCCGGGCTGAGTTAAAAGGGGTGGAATGTCTCTGTTGTGTCCCTCTCTTTTGCCTCACTCTTTTTGTTTCCTGTTTTCTTTTTAAAATAAATGTAGACATTATTGTATAATTCATGAGAAAAAGAAGTTGTTGGCTGAATGCAGATGGTCTGAATTCCCATATTACGCTAGTTCTGTTTTTAGTAGTTCTTCTTATAGTACTGTAGGACAATTTTTTTTCTGTGCATTAGGGATGGGCGATATAGCCTCAAAATTATATCATGATATTTCAAGAATATTTGTGATAACGATATTTATGTTGATATAGAAAAAAAAAACGTGGAATGTTTTATTGGTGATTGCAGCAGCATTTATTAGAGCAAACAAAATGAAGGGCATTTTCCATCCTTTTCCAATGAGCTACTGTCATCGATGACAGACTATTTAATTTGAAGTGTAAATCTATTGTCATAAGGTGGCAGCAGCAGCTGTGTGTTCAAATATGCTCTAGCCGCTCTCGCGATTCTTTGATGTCATACACCGATCAGTCTGCGCAGCGCTGCTTCAAGTCGAACACACCTATTGGGTTTGTGGTGTTGTTGTTGTGCGCGCTAGGGAACATATATCCACCATACGCCATCATGTCGCTATATCATTGATACCTAGATATGACACTTTTTTTTATCATCGTAAAACAGTTCATAGTTCGGGAAGAAGGAGGCGGGAACCAGTGAACGTTTAAACAAAACTTTTATAAAATAAACACAAAATAGAGCGACAGCCCCTCACGGACGACTTCCACGCACAAACTGAACCAAAACACAAAATAAAGTCCAGGCCTGGTCCTCTCTCGTCCTTCACTGTCATCACTCCTCCTTTTATCCTTCCGGAGCTCCTCCGTGGGACTCGAGACCGGTGAGTGGTGCAGGTGTCGCGCATTACCACTTACTCCACCGGCCTCGCTCCGTTCCACAGCTCTCGGCCCCGCCCCACTCGTCACAATCATGTCAAAATTTATACCGGTATTATCGTGGACGGTATGATATGGCACACCCCTACTGTGCATGTTTTGTTTATTAGTAAAAGGACTTCTTGAATTGGAAAAATTAGGTGATGGAAGCAACTGAGTGCACTAGATGTGGTCATTCACATGTCCTTTATGCTTTAAAGAGAGAGAGAGAAATCTAGATGGAGACAAAAAGCTTTCGAGACATCAGTGTGGTCAGTAAGTCTCAAAATTGCATTTTAGTCTGTTATAGACATTACAGTCTTTGGCTGACCCATATACAGTGGGTACGGAAAGTATTCAGACCCCCTTAAATTTTTCACTCTTTGTTATATTGCAGCCATTTGCTAAAATCATTTAAGTTAATTTTTTTCCTCATTAATGTACACACAGCACCCCATATTGACAGAAAAACACAGAATTGTTGACATTTTTGCAGATTTATTAAAAAAGAAAAACTGAAATATCACATAGTCCTAAGTATTCAGACCCTTTGCTGTGACACTCATATATTTAACTCAGGTGCTGTCCATTTCTTCTGATCATCCTTGAGATGGTTCTACACCTTCATTTGATTCCAGCTGTGTTTGATTATACTGATTGGACTTGATTAGGAAAGCCACACACCTGTCTATATAAGACCTTACAGCTCACAGTGCATGTCAGAGCAAATGAGAATCATCAGGTCAAAAGAACTGCCTGAAGAGCTCAGAGACAGAATTGCGGCAAGGCACAGATCTGGCCAAGGTTACAAAAAAAATGTCTGCTGCACTTAAGGTTCCCAAGAGCACAGTGGCCTCCATAATCCTTAAAGGGAAGACGTTTGGGACGACCAGAACCCTTCCTAAAGCTGACCGTCCGGCCAAACTTAGCTATCGGGGGAGAAGAGCCTTGGATCACTGTGGCTGAGCTCCAGAGATCCAGTCGGGAGATGGGAGAAA